GCTCCCGAGACCCAGCTCCCCCCAGGCTCCTCTCTCTCTCCTCCCACCCAGCCCCAGCGCCCCCCAGGCTCCTCACTCACTCCTTCCACCGAGACCCAGCACCCCCAGCCCACACCTGCCTGCTCCTCCAGCCTGCTCCTGCTCCCTCCCCGTGGCCAGACACTCTGGCCCCAGCTTGCTCCTGCCTCTTCACCCCTAGCCAGATTCCCTACCCCCAAGCCTGCTCCTGCACCCTCTCCCCTCCTCTCTTTCTGACTACAGCTTAGAGAATCTCTATCAATGGATTCTCCTCTAAGAGAAGTCTCCCTCCGATTTACGTGCATCTCCGCACCAATCGGCTTTCCCCCATCTCTTACATTTTACTTTATTTAAAATGAAGCCTGACCAACAAGGCCCCAATTGGGGCCCAGCCCCATCTGGCCGCAGCATCCTGTCCCCAATCCCGATCCTGGGGCACGCCCCACAATCCAGCCCCCATCTGGCTGCAGAAAGGGCTGGTGGTAGCCCCCCTTCTGCTGCCGCACAGGCAGGTGAAAAGGCCACAATCTGGCTGCAGCAGAGAGCGGCTGGTGAGCGTAGCGAGCAGCGGGCACAACCCCCTAGTTTTAAAAAAATCAAGTTAATGAATTCTACAGTTTCAATAGGTAGCATGTACACAACTGGCTCCATGTCGGCAGATTCACCTGCATGGAGGTCTATTGATGCAACAAGATGATGCTCATGAAAAGCCATTTTTGCAAGCTCAGTGCCTTAATTATTGAAGCTGACACTACAATAAGGAATTTAAAATATAGTACCCTCATTCCCCACCCATTTAATCTATAATTTTGATGCTATAACTTACTGTGGTCCTCCTCTCATTCTTTTGAAAAAAGAGGGATATCACAATGTTAAATCTTAATTATAGTACATTTGTAGCCACAACAAAATTAGTAGCATTAGGCCAAAATCTTTGATAAAAGCAAGCTGAACAGCAAACAGGTTAAATGTTTTATGGCATAAGATGTTCGCTCAGTGTTTGATACTACAAACTGTTATCTTTTATGAGAAATATTTCTTCTACAAAATACCAGAAGTCAGTTGCTTTGCTTACACAGTAATTTACGACCTGCACTTTTTCTGTGTTCTAAAGAAAAAAAGCTCTATAAAGAATAAATTACACATAAAAAATATTTTGGGAGAAATAATGCTTACCCTGTTCTGATGAGCCTCCAGTTTTATGAAGGAGCATTTTCGTAGATCTCCACCCATGTCAGCAAGGGTCTGAGGACTTATTTGATTATCTCGATCATGTGCTGCAAGAGTTCGCACAAGCTGCTGTGCAGCCCACTGCCTATGTTGCGAGGACAACCTTGAAGAAAGGCAGCAAGCTGCTAATGCATTAGCCAGCTCCAGAGGGCCTACAGCAGAAGGATCATAGGGAGGATGGGCATACAAATGGGCAATTAAACCTGCTTAAACAAAACAATGAGATACCACAGAGCCATCTTAAACCCAAACAAAAACAAAAAAAAAACCCCACTCCAAAAAACCCCCCAAAACACCAAACAAACGGAAAGCCCTGTTCTGATACAGACTGAAAACTAGCCATCTTCTGATATTAATCCACAAAATCCTCTAGAAACCTTCTGTCACCATTAAAATCAACAGGGAAACTCCAACTGGTGCCACTGGGCCAGGATTTCTTTCTAAAGATCAGGCTTTTTAAGGCTCCAATACTGCATTAGGATCTATTAAGCGTGACTGTCTACACCCAAGCGGAGCCTTGCTAGCAAGCCTCACGGGCAGTCAATGGACTCCATGCATGCATAGAAATCCAAGCTAACAAACTAACATAGCAAGGGGGGGGGCGGGAGAAGGGAGAGAATAATTTAGTTTGATAACCCACAAATAAAATATCTAGAACAGGGGTGGGAAACGTAAGGCCCAGGGGCTGGATGCGGCCTCCGGCTTGCCTGGATTCAGCCCCCCTGGCTTAGGGCTCTCCAGCCAGTACCGGGGAGCCCATGCAGGCTCTTCAGCCGCCCGCCCATCCCTGCGGGGCTGGAGGACAAAATTTAGTAGCTTGGGCCCCCCTAGGTACTGGTATGTTAGAGGAATGTGAGGAGCGCCTTTTTTTTGGCATCTCGCTTCTGTGCAGGCCCCAAATGATTTTTCTGTGGGTCAGTGGCCCTTGGGCCAAAAAAGGTTCCCCACCCTGATCTAGAATATGAACCCTATACCACTGGTTTTACAACTAATTGTTGTAAAAATGTCTGATTGTTATCAAGGTATGATGCCAACAACCACACATTAATCTTTGTTAAGTGGCATAATTGTATCCATCTATGTTTAGGAAGGATAGAGCCTTAGTTCTGTGCCTAATGACACTTCTGTAACATTAGGCATGTGGAATAATAATAAAAAATGGGTGAAGATTACTTTGGGTTAAATGTTTATGCCATTAGACTAATGAGGAATGAGTCAAATATCTCTCTTATTGTGGGTTGTATAAGCCCATAAAAAAGGCTAGAGCTGGAACAATCACTGTGATTAAGAGTGAAGTATTTTACTTATTATGATCCCTAAAGTGATGAAATTTTAAAGTCTCACGAGGGCTTTTCCCCCTGCTCCACTGCCTCATTATGAGGCAGAGTTAGAACTGAATGTCTAAGCTGTGTATTTTCATACTTTCAAATATTTAGGTTTCTCTCAAAGGGACATAACAGCAATTTGAAAACCACATTTCTACCTGAAAAATCTACTATAGCCAAGTAACACCTAATATTACTAATTTGAATAAATTAGTGAAAAAAATCTAACCTTTAACTTAGTGAATTTGACAGCCATTTATGTTTAGGCAGTTTCATACCATCCTATGTATACAAATGTTGTAAACATTAACAGAGAACAGAAACCTCAAAATAATTTAAAATTCACGACATTTAAAAGATGCTGTGTCAGAAACTAGATTTTTAAAAATTAAATCTATTTAAAAAAAATTAAGGTGACAATGGAAATTCAAGTTTCAATCTGACAATTGCCCGAGTTTAGAATGGTGGCTTTTATTGACATTTACAAAACTCAAAGTATTCTTTAAAAAAACAACAACTTGTTATGGATATGTACTAGGGATGTCAACATGTAGTCGAGTACACGATTAACCAATGAGCCTGGGCTTATTTGGTTAATCTTATCGACTACACCCTTTCCCCTCCCATCTCTCTATTAGAAGCAGCAAGAGGGGGGAGAGTGGGAGCTGGGCTTTTAAACTGGCTCCCCACGAGCACTGGATCTACGGAGCCACCTGCACCCCCCACAATGCTGCTGCCTCTGATAGAGAGGCACCAGCATGTAGGGTGAGTGGGGCAGGTAGGAGCTGGTACATGTGGGAAAGCCAGCTTTCAAGCTAGCACCCCCCATGTATTGGCTCATGTGAGCTGCTTGCAGCAGTGTGAGGGGGAAAGTAGGGGACAGGTGGGGACCCAGGCTCGCCGCGGTCAGAGGCTGCTCCATGGGATGCAGGTGCAGCCTCTGTGTGCAGTGAGCTTGGACCTCCCACGTACAGGGGCTGCTGCCACCCCACGCTTCTGCCTCTGTATCAGAGGCAGCGGTGCGGGGTGGCAGGTGGGAGCTGATCTGCGTGGGGAGCTGGTTTAAAAAACAGCTCCGCACATGGACCAGCTCCCGCCTGTCACCCCATGCTGCTGCCTCTGATAGAGAGGCAGCAGCGCAAAATGGTAGGGGGCTCTCCAGGAGTGGGGTTGGAAGTTCACTGGCTGCCCACCCTGCCCCGCAGGGACTATTAAACAGTTGTGTAACTGATAATATTTTGTGTGGTTAAACGATTATTCATTTACATGGTATCTAACATCCCTACTATGTATGCTCCAGCTTAACTCCAGGTTAGCAAAGCTGTTTGGGAATATAAATGAGAAAAGACAGATTTGTGTGAACTATATTGACGGAACTATTTTTTAATACACAAAATTACCTTTCTTTTCAATTTCTGCTTTATCATAGTTCGGCCTTAATTTAGCCCCTTTGTCTGCCAACAATGCCACAAGTGCTTGAGTTACCACAAAGTTGGGTGATGTTACAAGCTTGTTTTCTTCTGCAATTCCTCGCAGAAAACTTGGCAAAAATTTTCTTTGGATTGGATCATCAACTGTCGTCAAATTTACACCAGTTGCAGCAGAAATCAAGTTCTATGAAGAAAAGCAACGAATTGAAAAAATTAAATTTATCCACGTTTTTAGTCAAACAAAATTTAAAATACAGATTTTTTCAAGAACTGCAGTTTATTATGTGTAGAAGTTATCCAGCATCCTCTATGTAATATTTGCATATTTACAGAACAGCTATTTCAAGCTATTTCAAGACCTGTATCCAACAAGCTGATTGGACTCAATGGACTACTGTACCAATGTGAAACAGGTTATTTGTTACTTGCAGGTTCAAGGACAAAGAGTTTAATGTGTTATTGTCACTGTTAGGTAGAGAATTGAATCTATTAGAGTATATCTACACTTGCAGCCTATTTCGGAACAGGGCTGCAAATGTAGGCATTCGGAATTGCAAATCAAGCCCAGAATTTAAATATCCCGTGCTTGATTTGCATCTTCCCGGCCAGGCACCATTTTTTGAAATTTACAAGCCTGGAATAACTGCCCACATCTACATGCGGCAGTGAAATGGGCGTTAAAAATAAAGCTCTAGTTCGAACATCCTGTTAAACCTCATTGCAGGACGAAGAACAGGTAGTTCGAAATAGGGCTTTATTTCGAACACCCATTTCAATGCCACGTGTAGACGCGGGCAGTTATTCCAGGCTTGTAAATTTCAAAAAATGGTGCCTGGCCGGGAAGATGCAAATCAAGCATGGGATATTTAAATCCCGGGCTTGATTTGTAATTCCGAATGTCTACATTTGCAGCCCTATTCTGAAATAGGTTGCAAGTGTAGACATACCCTTAGGGAACTTAGAATGCATAGAAATTTGTGGATAAGAGAAGCAAAAAACAAGGTATATAATAAAAATCAATTCTTCATCTCGGAGTACTTACAATTCTTTCACTTGCATACACTCCAAAGTCAGTAAAAGTATAATTAATAACGAGCTTGTGTGCAAGAGAGGTTATAGATCAGGGGTGGGCAATAATTTTTGCAAGGGGTCACTTCCCAAATTTTGGCACGTGGTCATGGGCTGGCTCCAAACCACCTGGAAGAGGCAAGGCCTCGGGCTGAAGGTGTGAAACTGAGGCTGGAGAGAGAGAAAGTGTAAGTGTAAGAGTGTGTGTAAGATGGGAGAGTGTGTATGTCACAGACACACTGTGGTACAGAATGGCTGTGTGCTGGCTAAGTTTGAGAAGCCACACTGTCTCGAAGGGAAATCTGTTCTGTTCTGTTGTCTCCCCTCACACCCACTCCTCTGAGTCACATGCATCAGACTGGAGCAGCTCTGAAGACTATCTCCTTCTACAATCCCTGCTCTGCAAAGATGGGGTACAGGGGCAGGGGAACACCATGACTTCAGAACTCTCCTCTCCCTTCCACAGCTAGCAGGAGAATTCTGAAAGCAACTCTGTTGCAGGACAGAGCAAGGGGGGGGAGGAGCCACGGAACACAGGCTATGGCCTGTAAGTATGCATCTCTGCTAATCAGCTGGGTGGGCCAGAAATGCTTGGCAGGCCTGGGTTTGCCCGCTCTTGTTATAGATGTGCATGACATCTTGTGCTACATATATCCACTTTTTCCGAAAATGAAAATACAGTGTTGGGTGCAGTTGACTCAATAAAATGTAGGTAATTTGTGTAACCAAAGATTGCTACCTTTTAGAGAAACTTGTTGAAGCAGCAGCTATTTAAAAACAGGTTCATGTTTTCATTGGCAAATACACATCTCAGGACGCAAATAAAGATTCATGAAGTTACCAACAATAAAACAACACTTGTGCTAACGCATGAAGGAAAACTTTTCATTTTACTTTCATCTGCTTTTTTTTTTTCATAAAACAAAACGTGATAAACATGAACGGCTTTCAGCTACATTTTTCAAGCAGTCCATCATGCAAATAACTTTTCACATCTAGCTGCACACAGTACGGTGAAGCATACAATGTCCTTGGCATGTTAGTGCCTTCTTTATGTACACTATTTCTCACAAAATTTACCTCTTCAACTTATATTTAAAATTGTCAATGGCAAAATACCAGGGTTTTAGGCAAATGTTTGTATAGAAATAACAATCCTACCTGCGTACACAACTGTACCAGCAGTTTTGCAGCACTAGGAGTATTTGATGCCAAGCAGCCTACAGCTGTACTCAGGTAGGCCAGGCAAGATATAGGCTTGCTTGTTTTACTATGTACTCCTCTAGACCGCTCTGTAGAACTGGACATTGTGGATGGACTTGTGGAGAGGCCTGCTCTCCCTGCTGCAGCCAGGCACATTAATCGAACCAAAGTTCGGATATCCGTTAAACCCAAAGACTCAAGACCAGCCGCAAGGCTACAACTGGATCCACTGTAAAAATAGGAAAAAATGCTTTAGTTCAGGGTTTTCTTTTTTTTTTTAAATATTAGATACATAATAGGAAATTTCAGCTTGTATATATAACTACACTGCTTGCTTGATTAGTGGGAAATTATTTCACTAGAAAAGGGTAGAAGAAAGGAAGTATTACCAATCTACTGATGGGAAACTGAGAAAGAGTTCTGATCTTACAAACACCAATGTGGTAAACTATAAGAATGTGTGCAATTCCACTTCAGAAAAAGGGACTAGTCATGCTTACAATTAACTACAGAGGTAAGTATGTGCAAGACTGGGGATTAAGTCACTTCTTCATGTCTACATCTGCATCCTAAACACCCGCCAGGCTGTGGTATGAGACCCCTATACAGAGGCAGTAATATAATCCGATCTCTTGACTCCAAATCAAGCGCCTTAACCACAAGATCTGGAAGCATTCCAGCACAGGGACCATCTTATACTACGTGTTTCTACAATGTGCAGCACGACTAGGCACTAATCTCAGTTGAGTCCTCTAAACATTAACCATTATATAGAAAAGAAGAAGTGTCATTTAGGGAAGGAAAGTGAAGAAGTATGGCAGACTGGGGTAAAAGATGGGACTCAAAAGAAAGCCCTCATAAAAAGAGCACCAGATTATTTAAAATCAGTAACATTGTTCCCACCAGATAACAAAACCGAATCCCTAGTAAATGCACATAACTAAGCCCAATGGAAATAAAGAATGTCACAAACCTGACAGACAATAGTGAGAGTGCTCTCATAACCATGGTTCTTGCAAGAAGGACTTGGGCAGCTGCTGTCACTCTTCGTAGTGCCATAACACGGTCATGTGGATTTACTAGTGCAGCAGCTTGTTCCCCCAAGGTTATCCTGCCAGAAGAACTTTTTTCTATGGAGCCGTGACAGCCTTAAATGTTATAATGAATTGAATTAGTGCTAAATAAAAAGGGACAATTCTAGTGTGTTAAAGACAAAACAACTAATGATGCATATTTTAGTTTGTGATTCCTTGTAAAAACTAAGCATCGTTTGCATACCCTGAAAGTTCTACACACAGTTTAACCTTTTTTAACGTTTGATAACAGATTGGGAACAATTTGACAACAGCCAAACCTCCCTCAAAGCAGTGGGCTAGAAACTTAGACCTCACTATTACAATCTGCTTTCACAGGTGGCCATATTAGGAGAAGTCTCATGGGCGACTTTAATCACCCTGACATCTGTTGGGAGACCAATACAGCAGTACACAGACAATCCAGGAAATTTTTGGAGAATGTTGGGGATAACTTCTTGGTACAAGTGCTGAAGGATCCGACCAGGGGCCATGCGCATCTTGACCTGCTGCTCACAAACAGGGAGGAACTAGTAGGGGAAGTAGAGGTGGGTGACAACCTGGGAAGCAGTGATCATGAGATGGTAGATTTCAAAATCCTGACCAAAGGAAGAACAGAAAGTAGCAAATTACACATCCTGGACTTCAGAAGAGCAGACTGACTCCCTCAGAGAACTAATGGGCAGGAGTCCCTGGGATGCTTACATGAAGGGGAAAGGAGCCCAGGAGAACTGGCAATATTTTAAAGAAGCCTCATTGAAGGCACAGGACAAAATCATCCTGATGCGCAGCAAGAAAAGCAAATATGTTAGGCGACCAAATTGGCTTACCGGGGACATGCTTGGTGAGCTTAAACACAAAAAGGAAGCTTACAAGAAGTGGAAACTTGGACAGATGACTAGGGAGGAGTATAAATATATTGCTCAAGAATGCAGGGGAGTTACCAGGAAGGCAAAAGTGCATTGGAATTGCAGCTAGCAAGGGATGTGAAGGATAACAAGAAAGGTTTCTACAGGCATGTTAGCAATAGGAGGGTGATCAGAGAGGGTGAGGGAGGTAACCTAGTGACAGGTGATGTGGGAAAAGCTGAAGTATTCAATGCTTTCTTTGCCTCTGTCTTCACAGACAAGGTCGGCTCCCAGACAACTGCACTAGGCAACACAGCATGGGAAAGAACAAGTTAGGAACTATTTAGAAAAGCCAACCATACACAAATCCATGGGCCTGGATTTAATACATCCAAGGGTACTGAGGGAGTTGGCAAATGTCATTGTGGAGCCTTTGGCCATTATCTTTGAAAACTTGTGGAGATCGGCAGAGATCCCGGATGATTGGAAAAAGGCAAATGTAGTGCCCATCTTTAAAAAAGGGAAGAAGGACAATCTAGGGAACTATAGACCAGTCAGCCTTACCTCAGTCCCAGGAAAAATCATGGAGGGGATCCTCAAGGAATCCATTTTGAAGCACTTGTAAGAGGGGAAAGCAATTAGGAATAGTCAACATGGATTTATGAAGGGCAAGTCGTGCCTGACCAATCTGATTAGCTTCTATGATGAGGTAACTGGCTCTATAGATATGAGAAAGTCAGTGGATGTGATATATCTTCACTTTAGCAAAGCTTTTGATACGGTCTCCCACAATATTCTTGCCAGCAAGTTAAGGGAATATGGATTGGATAAATGGACTGTAAGATGGATAGAAAGCTGGCCAGACTGTCGGGCCCAACAGTTAGTGATCAACGGTTCGATGTCAGGTTGAGGGTCGGTTTCTAATGGAGTGCCAAGGATCTGTTCTTGGACTGGTTTTGTTCAATGTCTTCATTAATGACCTGGATGAGGGGATGGATTGCACCCGCAGCAAGTTTGCGGATGATACTAAGCTAGGGGGAGAGGTAGATACACTGCAGGGCAGGGATAGGGTCTAGAGTGACCTGGACAGATCAGAGGATTGGGCCAAAAGAAATCTGTTGAGATTCATCACAGACAAGTGTAGAGTCCTGCACTTGGGACCAAAGAATCCCAAGCATTGTTACAGGCTGGGGACCCAATGGCTAAGTAGCAATTCTGCAGAAAAGGACCTGGGGATTACAGTGGATGAGAAGCTGGATATGAGCCAACAGGCAAGAAGGCTAATGGCATATTGGGGTGCATTAGGAGGAGCATTGCCAGCAGATCCAGAGAAGTGATTATTCCCCTTTATTCGGCTCTGGTGAGACCACATCTAGAATAGCGTGTCCAGTTCTGGGCCCCCCACTTCAGAAAGGATGTGGACGCATTGGAGAGGGTCCAGCGGAGGGCGACCCAAATGATTAGGGAGCTGGAGCTCATGACCTATGAGGATAGACTGAAGGATTTGGGTTTGTTTAGTCTGCAGAAGCTAAGAGTGAGGGGGGATTTGATAGCAGCCTTCAACTTCCTGAAGGGAGGTTCCAAAGGGAATGGAGAGAGGCTGTTCACAGCAGTGACAGATGGCAGAACAAGGAGCAATGGTCTCAAGTAACAGTAAAAAAGGTCTAGGTTGGATATTAGGAAAAACTATTTCACTAGGAGGGTGGTGAAGCACTGGAATGGGTTACTTAGGTGGTGGAATCTCCATTCCTAGAGGTGTTTTAAGCGTTGGCTTGACAAAGCCCTGGCTGGGTTGATTTAGTTGGGATTGGTCCTGCCTTGGGCAGGGGGCTGGACTTTATGACCTCCTGAGATCTCTTCTAGCTCTATGAGTCTAAGTCCATTTAAGTTATCACAACTCCCCCAGCAATTCGGTGTCCATGGTTGTGAATCCTGTTGCAGAATGGGAGTCAGAGTGCTAAAGTCAATATAAAGTGTCTTATTCCTCCTTCACTACAGCTTCTCTAAAAACAGTTAAAATGAAGGCCTGACGTTGAGAGGCAAGACAGACTGATCCATGAGATCATAACTACCCCTGTAAGCACATCAAGAAAACAAGATGTCTGGACTTTAAATTAGACTTGAGATGGCTTCTCTCATAATTACCTATCTGCATTAAAGTCTCCTCCATACTATTGGTGGCTGTGACCATTGCTACTGATGCTCCCAGGGGATCACTGTCAGGGAACTGAACTGCCTCAGGTACAATACGGCGATCATTTAACCCAAGAGGTCCAGCCAGTAACTCAAATTCCTCTTCTCCTGTCAGCTTTTCATCTTCATCAACATCCAGCATATCCCAGTCTTCTAAGGTTGGAAGAAAAACTAGGATTAGGCACAAAATCTAAACTAGTGCTATGCACAAAATCTAAATTAGTTCTAGCAATTGTACGATAAAGGAATGAATCTTAAGTAACAGCATGCTTGTACATGTAAATAATTTCACTGGATTTAAGAATTTAGGCTCAGTGTCAAAATGTGAATTGCAATCTGCACCCTGATTTTAATTAAAAACAGACCTCATTTTTAAAGACGTATATAGGTATGACAAATAAAAACACTAACATTGCTATATTTGTACAATTTATGGTTTTCTCTAAAGTAAGTGGCATTGTTACGTAATCACCTGCAACAAACTAACTAGTTATCTTTTATATGCTTTAACATGCAGAAATGAGAAATTCAAACCAAGAGATTTAGTGCCAAATACAGTAGTTAGTAAGAAGTCCCAAGAAGCGGGATTTTAAATAATTCAATAAAAATGTCCAAGCTCATGCTCAGATACATACTCAAAGGGAGTGAGCTGCAAAGGCAGTCCCTGGGAATGCCTTGCCCCCGTATTCATTACAAAGAATTATGAATGTGATTCTGGGCTTTGTGCAGTTATAAGAAGAAGAAAAATTTTAAAGTATGATTTTAGTTGTAAGAAACACTGGTCATTTCACTCATTAATTGACTTCTGTCTCATTTCCAGTGGTGCTGCTCTCCTCCACCTTCGCCACTCACCTTGTGGAGTGGAAATATGCTAATTTCCATATTCAGAGAACCTCAGCACCTGGCAGAAGCTGAATTTGCCCCTGTAACTTGATGCTGGTCTTGGAAGATGTGTATGAGCTTCCCCATTTCCTGTTCCAAGGCTCTTCCCTTTAGGGTAGAAAGGACTGAGCTCAGGAAGCAAAACCTACATAATACAGACGACCATCCCTTGAGTACGGAGATTCAAGACCAGGAAAGGACTGGGTGGGAATCTGCATAGGAATCAGGAATGGGTCTAACCTCGCACACGAAGGACATGTCCTCTCCCTTTCTCAGCAAGCAGAAAGCCAGAAAATATCTGCTCCTAAATGTTTTGTATTATTTTGAGCCTGTGTGTCTTGCATTGATAAATAAACCTGCCCTGAAGAAAGATATGGATATGGATAGAAACCTGAGCATGTGGGCTTTATTTGGACTGCTCTAATTGGCATACCTGCTCACTAGTCTCTAAGTCCAGATGCTGCAATTAAAACTTGCAGCATAATCAACCAACTCACAAGTCACAAAGGGCAGGAAAACTGTTTTTATTTAGAATTTTTAAAATATTTTTTTAAAATGAACATATTAGAAGGATTTTAAAGTATAACTTGCAGTGTACTTTTCACAGAAGATTTATTTCTATGAAAGAATAGGTTACCTACCTTGTACTACAGCTTAAGATCTTCAAGATATGTCCCCTTTGGGTGCACCAACATGAGGATGTGGGTGTTCCTGCATGCTCTTGATGAGAGATTTTTTTTTTTTTTTAAATCAGCACTGTTGTGAGTCTGCATCTGCATTCTAGACAATCCCATGCTATGGCATAAGAGTATATGGTGAAGGTTGGACCTGCTGCCACTCCAGATACTTCCTAACCACAAATATCCAGTTACAGATTACATAGTGGTGGTGGTGATGGTGGAGGAGTGTGTATAGAGAAACATTAACAGTGTCACACATTCTAAGAACTCAAGGTAAGTAACCTCTCATCCTTCTTCAAGTAATGTCTCTATGTCTATGATATCCTGTTTGACATGACTTCCAGGCAGTACTTCACAACATGTAGGTAGCTGCACAACAGTAAATTCAGTACAGTTCACAGGACAGTTACCATAAACTGCATCAATTTTGGAAGCTGCACAAAAGCACAAAAGCATAATGCTGATAAAAATGTGTGTGTCAAAGAACAGATGGCTGTCCTGCAGATGTCTGAGGTACATTTTAGAGAAGGCCTACAGAAGTAGATTGAGGGTGAAATGAGCAATTACCCTCAGAGAGGGATGAAACCCTGCAGCTTTGTAGGAGGACAAGGCACAGCCTGCAACTCACCTGGACAGTCTTTGGGTAGACATTGGGTGCCCCTTCATTTTTGCAGCAATAGAGAGGAAGAGTCATTGGGAAGCTGAAAAGGGTCTAGTCCTGTCAATGTAAAAAGCAAGAGCTCATTTAACATCCTACGTATGGCAGTTTGCTTCTCTCAAAACAAGAGGCCTAGGGTTAAACATCAGTAGGTGAATCTTCTGATTAATGTGATATTCAGGAGAAACTTTAGGAAGGAGTGAAGGTGCAAACACAAAGTCACCGTATCTCAGGAGAACACCATGTACAACGAGCTTGCTATTAAGATACCAAGCTTCCCTACTCTCCTGGCCAAGGTAATAGCTATGAGAAATGAGGCCTTGAGGGACAAATGAAGGCAGAAATAACTCAAGAGTCAATCACCAGAGAGGGGGAACAACATATGAGGGTTCCCTTAGAGAACTGAGAATTAAGTTGAGGTCCTATGGTGAAGCTATATTTTTGACACGAGAGAAGAGGCTGAACAAGCCCTTGATAAACCTTACAGTGGTATGGTGGGTCAAGATTGAGAACCTTTTTATAAGAGGATGGAAATCTGTGAGAGCAGCTAGCTCAGTAATAAGCCTGTGGTCAGTAAATTCAGCAGTAACTGAGAATGTAAGTCAAATAGGACTCAAGAGAAGACAGAGATTAATAGCTGCAGCAAGCCTGGAAGAATTTTCACTTCTGCAAGTAAGTTTCCTTGATTGGAGGCTTTCTACTATTGACAAGTACCATTTGAATTTTTGGGGAGCAAACTTGTTTGAAGAGAGCCACACTCAGTGAAATACTCAGATACTGGTGCAGATGACTGATCCTGACTCCTTGGTGAGGAAAGTCATTTTCAGGAAAGGTGGAGAGCTGGCTGCAGGGACATGCAAAAAAGCTCCAGGAACTACACCTCTCTCAGACATGATAGTGCTACTACTAGTAGTCTTTGGATGCATTTTGTTTAGAAACTTGAGTAGCACAGGCATATAGCAGGAAGCGAGGTGGAGACCTTACCCATCAAGTTGTTTCGGTGTCCTCCCCTTGAACAGGCACTTCACACTGGATGGTGTTACAAAGAACTCTCTGGATATTCCCAGGGAAGTAATATTTTCTAGAATATCTTGAATAATATGTTCAGCTCCCATTTGTGGCAGATGCAGAGATGTCTGGTGAGGGAGTCCACTACAGTGTTTTGTAGATTTGGTTGGTTAGATATGCACAAGTTCCATAATATTATGGGTTCAGTGCATAAATATTGCAATCTTGCTCCTCCTTATCAATTGATATAATACACTGTTGCACTGTTGTCCAGCTGTATTTTGATTAGGTGGCCCTTGCTGTGGGGAGGAAGTGCTGGAGAGCATAATGAGCCACTCTGAGCTCCAATATTTTGACATGAAGAATGGTTTTCTGAGGCGTCCATTCATTTTAAGTCATGAGGTTCTTGGAGTGTGTGCCCAAGCCTATCAAGGAGGTGCCTGTGGTGATAATCTTCATGGGAGAAGGCTTTAAGAACGGACCTTCCATGCACAGCTTTTGTGGGTCCTTTGACCAACTCAGATAAGTGACACACTTATAAGGCATGGATAGCCACCTGGATAGACTGTTTGTTGGGGTTGTATGTGGTTCTCAACCAGGCTTGAAGACATGAACAGAGTAGTCTTGCTAAGGGAGTCACGAACATACTGGCTGTCATGTTGCCCAGAAGTTGTAGGTAAATCTTTGCTATATATTTGTGGACTCTTGTGAATTATTGAAACAATGTTTGACTTTGTGGTGATGCTCTGAAAGAAGAGTCCAGAGTGGCTCCAATGAAGGGTATACATTGTATGAGTGTGAGGGTAGACTTTTTTGACATTGACAAAGACCCACAGAGTGACATAGTGATAGGGCCTTGCTGTTTGCTACCTGTGCTTCAAGAGCTACTCATCCAGGCAGGGAGACAATTATGCTCATCAGGAGAGGCTGACAGAAGTTTGGTCAAGACCCTTGGGACAGTGAAAAGGCAGAAGGATAAGATTGTATTGGTAATGGTCCCTACCTACCATAAAACATAGGAATTGTTGTGTATGGGATGAATGGGGACATGCACTCCACAATAAGTGTTCATGTGGGTGTCCCACTGTAGGTGTCATGTCAATCTGGCACCACAGATTGGAGATTATTGAGCAGTAGCTGGCAGGGTACTATAGATGCCATGAGGCGTTTGTGCCTTAAAGAACTGTATGCATGCCTGTGTCCCCTTCTGTTCCTTCTCTACTCCAGAGCAAAGAGAATACTCTGAAGTGGAGAGGAAGAGGATGGGTAGTGGAGCACCCACAGGGACACACATCTCGAAGAACCATTGTTACTGCACAAAGCTCTTCAAGAGCAGTCACGGATGTTGTAACATGTTCATATGCAAGGTGTCTGCTTGTGTAGATCCCTTTATGAGATAGTTGTCTAGGTAATGAAATATTATAAACCTTTACTGGTGCAAATGTGCTGTAGCGACTGCAAGCATTTTGGAGAAAATATTGGGGGCAGTGGAAAATCTGAAGGCAAGACCTCTGTATTAATAATGATTATGAGTCACAATGAAGTGTAGGAAGCATCTGTGGGAGAGTGTGCGGTTATGTGGAAGTAAGCATCTTGGAGGTCGAGAGCTGCAAACCAGTGCCCTGGTCTAGTGCTGGGATAACAGTTGCTAAAGTCACCATTTTGAACTTTTGGTTTTGGATGAACTTGTTCAATCTGTGCAGGTCTAAGATTGGTCTCCATCCTCTGCTCTTTTTCTCAGTGAGGAAGTAACTGGAATAAAAGCCCTTGCCCTAGAATGGGCTGGGAACAGGTTCCACCACATTTATATTTAAAAGATGCTTGACTTCCTGCTGCAGAAGAAGCTAGTGGGTAAGGTCCCTGAGAAGGGATGGGAAAGGTGGTAGAATTGGTGGGATGGAGAGAAATGGGATAATGTATCCTGCTTACATGATTTGCAGAACCCACAGGTCTGTTTTCATCACCACCCTTTGATTGTAATATGGGTGCAATTGGTGTAGGAAAACAGCTGATGACTGAGTTAGTGCTTTGTGTTGGGGGAGGTTGTGCAGACCCTCGACCAAAGTCTCACAATTGCTGAGTGGATGGTAGGGGGTTGGCCCTGTGGTCTTTGAAACTGTGGTCTGGGCTTTGACCTGTTAGGGTCAAAACGACCTTCCTGTATAGGCTCCCCATCCCAAAAGTTTCCCCAGTTCCTAATAAATCGAAACCCCTCCTCTCTACACCATTGCCTGCGTGTGGAACCAGAAGCACTTCAGAGAATGCCACCAGAGAGGTCCCAGATTTCAATCTCTTTCCTAGCAGCCTAAATTTGGCCTCCAGAACATCTCCTCTACCCTTCTCTATGTCACTGGTACCTACATGTACCACAACCACCGGCTCCTCCCCAGCACTACACATAAGTCTATCTATATGTCTCAAGAGATCTGCAACCTTCGCACCAGGCAGGCAAATCACTATACGATTCTCCCAGTCATCACAACCTCAGCTATCTATGTTTCTAATGATCGAATCCCCCATTACTAACACCTGCCTTTTCCTAATGAGTGGAGTTCCTTCTCCTGAGATGTATCCTGGAAGGTCCCAACTACGGGATCATTTCCCTCTGCTCCAGTTGAATGTTCTCCTTTCCTGAGCCTTTCATCCTCCTCAACAGCATTCAAGGATGGCCTTACCAGCATAGCCAAGAGCCTCCCCTTCAGTGGTAACCTTAAAAGAGGATGGCTAGAAGGAGGGGAGGAAGCTTGTACAGGCATCTCTGTGTCAAATGAAGGATCTTCCCCTGTGTGGAGGGATAATGCCAGTACCAGTTGTCAGTTTGGCTCCAGAAAGAAAACTACTTGCATCAGTACAGAGGTTAAAATAGCTGGTGAGGCAGTGCCAGAGAATGTTGTATCACTACCAGCTAGATATAAACTCAGTACCCTCAAAGAGTCTGCATGGAGACTGTGCTAATAGCAGAGGACAAGTCACCAAAGATGAAGACGGAAGCCTCTTGGAGGTAATTTATCAGTGCACAGTATCAGTGATTTGAACTTTTCAAGGTTTTGCAGATCTTCATGAGATAGGAGCCTAGTTTGTTCCAGAGGCCCTGGATTGGGTTCCTCGGGTATCAGAAGTCATACTGAAGACTGTTATCCAAGATTTCGCTTCTGGCTACAGAAGATGGTAACAATGAAGATTGCATGCTGGCTTTGGAATTTGGAAGCACTAAGCCCTGTGCTCATGCCACTCTAGACAGCTTCTCAGTATGCACCATGGTCTTCTTAGCTGGTATGCTGGTTGCAGGATAGGAGGGAATGAGAGCTTCAGTGGCACCGATATTGGGATATGAGTTAGGCATGAACTTGCAGACATTGCTGAAAAAAATCTCTGCTCAAGAGTGCACTGTCTGCACACATTAAGTAATGTCCTTGTTTAGACAGTAAAAGTATATTTATAAAGGACTGACAAAAATTAACAAAAGTTTCATAAAAGTGCATCTTCCAAACTCAGAATAAAGAAATACCTTCATAGACACTATCTTGCTTGCCTATTAAGTCAGGAGCCTGGCCTTTGTACCTGCACCAAACAAGAAATATGTAAGAGGATACACAGTAACTAAATGGCTCAAAAACCAAGTATATACACATACAATTTAAATACAGAATTTTACTACTGTTAAATGTTTTCTGAGGATTGCTACTCAGGAACAATAGTCTATATTTAATAGAAGACCTGATAACAGTTGTACCATCCTTAAAAAAATCTATTTTGTGATATTGAAAAAATTAACCGATGCTGCTAGTCCTAAAAAAAATGTTGCAATAGCTTCATTTTTAAAGTTGCTGGGCTGAACTACTTTCTTGTTTCTTAGTAAAATGGACTTAACAGGTCTTGAATCTAGGCTATAAAAGATATTTATTACATGCATTTTGGAAAATGATAAACATCTGAAAGGATTCGAGACACACACTTTTTTGGGGGGGAGCAACCTGTAACCCCTATATTCCTCATCTGCATATAACTGTGATATTGCATAGCAAGTATGCTTTTTATGCATATAAAGCACAAACTGTTGTCCAGGAAGGGAGCTACAATTCAATGATTCGCTTGCATAAATTAGGACCAAACCAGGGGAATTGCTGGATCTTTTCCCTGGCGACTCAGCAATTCCCACCGGGTATGAAACAGAAAAGGGGCATGATTTGCCTTTCTCTTGCCCCCTCATATGCTGCAAGCAACAAGAACAATGAGAAAACTTGAATCCAACAGGCTCAGATTTAAAGGAGAAGCCTGTATTAAGATCTGCAATATCCAGTGGAGAGAGGAAAAACTGCTTAATACATTCTAATAGGTTGAAAGTTTAGACTGAATGTTTATATTTTCTTTTGGTAACTACTCTTTTTGTCTATCACTTATAATGACTAAAAATCTATCTTTTGCAGTCAACAAACCTGTTTTACTGTTCATCTTTACCAGTGATTTTGCCTGAAGTGGTTGGTATCAGCTCAGGTTTAGAAAAGTTGGTGAAGTGGTGAACCAATAAATAACTATGCACTGCTCATTTTGAGCAGTTCAAGACAGTATATTCCTGAGGAGGAGATTGGCTGGTGCCTCTTTCTATGATTCACAGGTCGCTCTGGGAGCATTAATACAATCAAGCATGGGGTTCTCCATGCAGTTGTGCTAAGTGGCAACAGCTCCTGGACAGATTTGTTGCTTGCCACTAGCAAAGCATTGAGAGAAGACAACGCAGGCTGGAGTGTTAAGGGGGCAGTCCCACACTCCCAGGCTACCCCCTGAGGATCTAATCACAATTTTATTTTCCCTTTCTACAAAAGGTGTGATCACAGAAAGATTTTTAAACTCCGTTACCAGCATGAATTTTGGTACAAACTGTAAAACCATCAAATCAAACTCTTAAGATGCATACATGGATGGACATTTTCAATTTTTCTTCCCATATCTAATAATTATTTATTCTGTACCTTTCTGATGTTGATGTCTTGGATTTACTCTTCAAGGCCAAATATTTCTCTCTGCAGCTGCCGCAGAGTAGGTAGTATGGATTTCCACTTCCACATTCACCACCGAACCACCCATCCACATAGGAACCATTGCTACGATAGCCTTGTCGATTTGCACTACGGCCACAGCCAGGATGATTTCTTTTCATATGTTGATTGAAGCTGACAACACTGGATTCACACAATTCACAAACTACCACTTCTTCTCTGTCTTCAGACTCACAAACATGCTGTATGATATGATTTTCATATAAAATTACTAGATATAGGATAAATATGCTCATTATAAATAAGAGGACATCTATTTTAAGTGCTTTTTTTCCTACCTATGTCTGTTAAGCATGCATGATAGTATTTGTGCTTTACTTAGAAGTGGACCAGAGATGAATAACTTAGTATGTGTGCAGGGGGGTACGTGGCAGTGGTCTTGTATAATAATTTGTTCTTCAAAACAAGTGTAAATAGTTGATTTTTCAATTTATGCTTCTACAAAATACAGAAAGGATGATTTTAAAAAGGAGAAGAGAGGAGAAATCAGTCCCAACTAGGGATGTAAAAAGTTGTTTAAAAATGTAATTCTGTAACTGCTAAAAATCCTAGCAGTTGTGTGCTGTGGGCGCTGCACCATATAGCTTATATATAAAGTTTTATACTGCACAGACTATAGCGAAGCCCATTCCCTAGGAGTGGGGCTGGCAGGGGTTGCTGGTCCTGCTTCTGGGGAGGCTTTGCTGCAGGTTCTTTTATACTGCACAGCCCGCAGTGAAGCCTCCCTGAGAGCAGGCTCCCTGGGAACCTGACTGGCAGGGGCTGCTGGCCCAACTCCTGAAGAGGCTTCACTGCAGACTCTGCAGCAGGCTCTCTAAGAGTCACTGTGTAATATGCAGTGGCAGGGGGCAGAGTGGGGGACTTGCAGGGGAGAGGGGCTGCTTTGGCTGGCTGGAGCAGCCCACTGCCCAGGGCAGGTGGGGAGCTGCCCTATTCCCTACCAGTTTAAGGGTGAGACTTCCCAGTTCACCATTTACATCCCTAGGCTCAATCTGTCACATTATCAGAACTTCTGCCTCTAAGTTCTTTACAATCTAGTCTTCAAGCATCGTTCTGCTTTAGCCTACCAAAGACCATCTTAATGAGTTATTCACTTCTCCCTTAAAATTTGGCAGAGTCTAGATATAGACTGAGGGGAAAAAAACTAATAACTTTTCAGACTATTGACTTCTACATGTAGTGAGTGACAAGTCAATTCAGTTGCTGCTCAAGTCAGTATATATTGTGCACCAAGGTGCCTGAATTTGGAACGCTCTGATCTAATGATGGCAGTTCTACCGTCAAGAATCTCCATTTAAACAGACTTACTAGGAACTTAAGTACACATGGCCAAATTTTCAAACTCTGCCTTGGAACCTCCACATGCAACTACAGAAACAACGAGCAGTCCTGTGGCACTTATTTGTTAGGCTATAAGGTGCCCCTAGACTGCTCATTATTTTTAAAGTTACATGCTAACATGGCTACCCTTCGGAGTCTTTTTATCGTGCAACTAAGGTTATATCATCTGAAAGTGCATGTTTGGGCACAAAAACCCACAAGTTTTGATTGAGCGTTCTAATTTGTGAAATCAGCCAACGAAGCTGCACACTCAACATCTAAGGAAACCACAGTTATTAAATTTACCAATCCTATCCTAATTATAGGGAACACTGAAAATACCACAATAAAGACAAGTACTGTTTGTGAGACAGTAATCAGAACTTTTCAACAAAACCTACTGTAACATGAACAGTAAGACTGAACCCAGTCACAGTAAGATAGCAAACCTAATTTGCCAATAAATTACACTGCTGTAAACCAGAGCTAACTCCACTGAATCAATGGAGATACACAGATAAGTGAATTGAGCTAACTATATCTACTTTTGTTAAACTTAGATGTAGTATACAGGACACTGTCATAAAACCAACAAAGCCTCTCAATACTTTTCATATGACAACACTGGGGAAAATAAAGGCTAATCTGAATTAATGCTTTCTTTTAAATAAAGAAAACTCCCATTGCAAAGATAAAACTGAATGATTTCACTGGACAATGTCTCATTAGTTTTGTTCATTTGCTTTGTTCTAAATGAAAAATGGTGAGCAATTGTTTTATCCTTATACTGCTTTATCTCACTTAAATTTAGCAATCTCCTACAGGCGTGCTATCCCTTAAAATTGGATACAATGATCAAAATAATTTTGCTGAAGTGACTTATCCCTTCTCAAAGAAGAAACTAATGAAGCATGTGAAGATGAACATAGCAAGAATCAAAGGAATAAATTAGGTTTGTACAGCTCTTGTCCCATTAAAGTGAGGCAACAGACATCAAAGTGGCTTTAAGCATCATTATTGTTTAGCGACTCATTATGTCCAAGCAGAAAGCTATTTATGCAATGCGTTATTTTAATTTTTAAAATGTGATTTTGCAAAAAGCAGTAAGTAAGTCAAAGCAGCCCCAGCTGCAATCACACACACCCAGGTAGGCCAATCCAATACCTCTGGGATCCACATTCCCAGAATATCATTATCACTGGCGAGATCCTGTCCAAACATTGCTTCCATTGCTTCATCATCAAGGTCAATTTCTAACTCTTCATCCAAGTTGAAGTCATACAAGGCTCCTGGATCTTGCTGCAAAGATATTCCCTCTCTCCGACTCTGATTTCTGTGAGCCTGTACAGAGCGGTATAATCCCGCTCAAATCAAAGAGAAAACATTCTTTACTTTGCACGTAATTAAAAGATAGCCCATTCAAAAGCTTTTCAAAAATACTGCTAGTAAAATCATAATAAATTTGTATTCCTTACTGTATAAAAGAAATTAAGTTAAATATTTACTGAAATATGCAAAAGCAGTATTTATATTTTTGAAGTTCCACATTAGGTACTAAATACCTTCTCACAATTTTGCCAAATGAACAAAGATACCTGAACCACTGTAGTGCACTTACCAGCACGTGCTAGCAATGTCCGAGCAGCTAAGTCAAATTTATGCCTCCTTGTTACTGCTGACCGACCTCTTGAAGGGGGTCCACTTCCAGAAGCTGCATTCTCTGGATGATCCATATTATCAGTACTGGGAGAATGGTTTGAATATTCAACAGGTAAGCCAAAAACATTTAAGTTATGGATTATTTGTGCATATTAAGCATGGATCATTTAAAAAAAAAAGAGAGAAAACACCATGATGGTAGAAAATACAGTTCTCTCCCTTCAAAAAATTATCTTGCCATTGTGCATTGCATGTTTATACTATCTCCCCCACTAATAGAGAGAAGTTACATGCATGTGTTACAATAAGTAGTTCAGTGACACCTTAGAGCCGTGGTCCCCAACACGGTGCTCGCGGGCGCCATGGCGCACGGGCACTTGCGGGGGGAGCGCGCTTGGCGGGGGGAGCGCCGGGCGCGCGGCACTTGG